GAGCAGAGCTACATAATAGATCTGATATGCCATGCTGTCATATATGAAAATGTCAACTTATTTATAGCTACTTATAATTGTAATCTCGATTCCAAGCAACAACAAATAGAATTCTTTACGCCAGCTTGCACTTGAACTTCTCCACATGCTTACAAAGATCTGCACTTAAGATTTTACAGCCATTCCATGGGTTACTAATGCTTTTTACAAATTACACTTTTTTTTATAGTTCCTTTACGTACGTCAATAGCAGTTCTCATTTTGCTGCCATTGGAGTAAGGAATTCAGAGGAAATTTTTTTTTTTCCAGATCAGTATGCTTACGTTGCCTGCATTCCAAACTCTGCTACAAGCTGGGTATACACACATATTTTTTTTTTCAGTCAACCAGATGGTCGAACATAAAGAACTGACATCATGATGTGTGAAGAAGGGATCTCCCCCACTGTTTCTTTTATTCTGACAAGGGGATCCCCCTCCACCAGAATACACTGATCAGTGCACCATTGGCTGCAGGTGCTTGAAAGCAGGTCAAGGTTGGGCCCACTGTGTGGCCCATTTAAGACTGTGACTCATAAATCCTTCAAGGAAGGAGGGTGAGTCCTTCAAGGAAGGAGGGGGTAAAGCTTTGGCCATGGAAAGGGATGCCATGTAAGAGATGATCACCTAAGGGACAGTGATTCTAACCTTATTTCCCCTGGAGATGGACACAGAGATACATGACCAGCCTAAAGGATAGGAGGCAGTAATTGGAGAGAAAGAGAATGTCTTGTTCAACTGTGTTGGGTTAAGAGCAGATATGACTGTATTTCTACTAAACGTTCTTCAGTAAAGAAGTTGATCTACATGCGGCCTCAGTGTGCAGTTATTCAGGTATCGCAGTAGATATCATAAGAGTGAACTAGAGTGTCAGTGATTTCACCTGGCTGTTGAGTCCTGGGAGAAGCTGGGCCAGCATATACAGTAGATACACCTGGGGGTGAGGGGATACAGCCATGCAACCAGGAGGGTGGGTAGAGGTCCTGTTCACCGGCCCCCACCCACACATCCAGAGGAAGAGAGTGAGAGTTACAGGGCAGAAGCTGGTATGGAAGGTTATCTTTTATGTTAGGGGTGCTCTGGCTTCCGCTGTGGCCATGAGTAAGGAGGCAGTTACCTGCTAACACACTGATTGAATGCTGGCTTTCCAGCATGACCATTCAACAGAAGCCTGTAGTTAGACCAGCTTCTGTTGAACAGACAGCAGTACACATGTACCAGCCAACTTTCGATACATGTGTACTGGTCTTTAGGGATGCTTTAGAGACAATGAACTTCTATCAGAATTGTCCTCCAAAGTCTGTGGATTAAATGAATAGCTTTGATCAGCAAGCTGCTGATCATAGCAATTCATTCAAAATGTGCCCCCTTCATTCCTCTGCTACCTCCCTCCACACGCTGAGACCCACCACTCTACCAACACAGATCCTTCCCATTGTGCAGCAGCATAAAAACCTAATTTTATGTCCCTTGCACAGCTGATCCCCCCACTTTGTTCTTAATCCCCTTGCAGCTCTATCCTCGCCTGTAACAGGGGGGACAGCAGGCCCTGCAGGGAAGAAACAGTCACTGCCAAGCAGGGAGGATATAGTGGCAGGCAGGCTCTGGCAAAATATCTCAAGTCTGTGTCCCCTGCATGGCCCACTGTCTCTGCTGTGCCTTCCAGTCCTCTGCTGTATTCTTATACCTGTAGCAGCAGAGACATCGGGTTTTGCTAGCACCCACCCAGTGGGAAAGATCAGATCCTTCAGGATTGCCAAGCTGAGTGTCATATTTATTGATCTTTTTCAGTCCTGCATAAAATATGGAGATAGTAAACATGGCATGTCAATTTGTGAATGAACAAGATTCACTCCGCAAAAATGGTCTTGCCACCTGAGGTTAAAGAAGGTGCATAATGAAAGGGTTAATAATAGCACTCTTTTGTATTGCTGCAGAACATTGATTTGAACCTAGAAGTAATCTCTTTACACTGCTGTCCACCAGCGCTTTAAGAGCTTCTAAATGCCAGGAGCAAGAAGTGGGCTTTAAGATCACATGACCACTGTGATTGTCACTGTGGTCACATGATCTGAATCTACTGACCATAAACAAGGACCGGGAACAGTCTGTTGCAACTCGGTCACTTTACTGAGAGTGTGCTCTCAGCACAGAAGAGCAGTTCCCCATAGACAAATACACTATCTTGCCAAAAGTATTGGGATGCCTGCCTTTACATGTACATGAACTTTAATTGCATCCCAGTCTTAGTCTGTAGGGTTCAATATTAAGTTGGCCCACCCCTTGCAGCTATAACAGCTTCAACTCTTCTGGGAAGGCTGTCCACAAGGCTTAGGAGTGTGTCTATAGGAATATTTGACCATTCTTCCAGAAGTGCATTTGTGAGGTCAGGCACTGATGTCGGACGAGAAGGCCTGGCTCACAGTCTCTACTCTAAATCATCCCAAAAGTGTTCTATTGGGTTGAGGTCAGGTGCAGGCCAGTCAACTTCCTCCACCCCAAATTCACTGATCCATGTCTTTATGGACTCTGCTTTGTGCACTGGTGCGCAGTCATATTGGAACAGGAAAGGGTCATCCCCAAACTGTTTCCATAAAGCTGGGATCATGAAATTGTCCATAATGTCATGGTATGCTGACGCCTTAAGAGTTCCCTTCAGTGGAACTAAGGGGCCAAGCCCATCCCCTGAAGAACAACCCCACACCATAATCCCCCTTCCACCAAATTTACACTTGGCACAATGTAGTCAGGCAAGTACCGTTCTCCTGGCAACCGCCAACCCCAGACATTTCCATTGGATTTCCAGACACAGAATCATGATTGGTCACTCCAGAGAACAAGTCTCCACTGCTCTAGTGTCCAGTGGTGGCGTGCTTCACACCCCTGCTTCCGACACTTTGCATTGCACTTGGTGATGTAAGGCTTGGATGCAGCTGCTCGGCCATGGGAATCCATTCCATGAATCTTTCTACACATTGTTGTTGCGCTAATCTGAAGGCCACACAAAGTTTGGAGGTCTTTAGCTATTGACTCTGCAGACAGTTGGTGACTTCTGCGCACTGTGTGCTTCAGCTTGTTCTGACCCCACTCTGTCATTTTATGTGGCCTACCACTTTGTGGCTGAGTTTCTGTGGTTCCCAGTTTATTCCACTTTGTTATAATACCACTAACAGTTGGCCGTGGAATATTTAGTAGCAAGGAAATTCACGGATGGACTTATTGCACAGGTGGCAACCTATCACGATACCACGCTTGAATTCACTGAGCTCCTGAGAGCGACCCATTCCTTCACAAATGTCTGTAGAAGCAGTCTGCATGCCTAGGTGCTTGATTGTATACACCTGTGGCCATGGAGGTGATTGGAACACCTGAATCCAATGATTTGGAGGGGTGTCCCAATACCTTTGGCAATATAGTGTACATAAGGCAGCTCAGTGTTAAGACCTACCCGCCCTGCTGATGCATGGCCCATGACCAGTGGAAACTGGTTAAGTTTCACACACACAAATTACACATACACATAAAGTACAGATGTGCACACAATGTGGTAATGAACATTGTGCGGGTTGGTGCACTAACCCACTAAAGGCCTGTTCATACCAGCAGGCACATGTTATGCTGTATATAATGCATGTGCTGGTCTGCATTGTACATATATGCTGCTCTGATTTGTTACAACCCCTTGTGCTTTGTTGTTTTCCCTTTTTAAAAAAAACATTTTTAAAATTACAGAATTCGATCATTCTATGGCTTAAAGTAGCGCACACACTGAAGTGCACTCTTAGTCAGGCATTACCACAAAGGTGTAGGTGTGAAACCAGCCTCTAGACTTTTAGAATTAGTTGCTTGATTACAATTTTGTATATTTTTGATTTTCACTGTTTTGCAAAAAAGATACAATTGGTGATGAATGCAACGAGTATAATTTTTGCCATGGCAAAACGTCACAGTCGTGGCATGTATACAACCTGCTTCTGCCCCTGTGTCAGGTTAAGGGAGGTGATCAAGGGTGGTAAAAGCACAACCCACCTACCTATATTTACTGTCTCCAAACTGCAAGTGTAAGCTAGGCCTTAGTGAAATTTGCATAGAGTATATACAATTAAGGCTGCATGCAGATCATACATTTTGGAAAAACACCCCTTTGTTTGTTCCCTGAAGGGAGGTAATGGGGGACTGTCAGGGATGTTAATGCAGTAATAATCTTTAATGTATGTTTATATTTTGTAGAAAGTTTTAGGTGAGAATCTGAAGTCTCTGTGATATCATGGTGGGTGTATAATGCAATGTTCATTGGTGTTTTACTTTTATATAAGGCTCTATGGATTTTACAGTTTTATGTATTTTTCCTGAAGAAGAATATGATCTCAAAATGTTGCATTTATTTTTGACATGCCTAATATGTAGTAATCAAAGATAACAGTGGGCTGACAGCATACTGCATATTGTAGCTATCCAGTGGTTGCTACAGCACTCTAAGCAAAAGATCCATTATTGGTTTGGTGTGTGATAAAGATGTCTTCATCATGGAAGTACCACATTCTATTAGAAATCACCCTCTACCTCTAATTGATTACTACAAGCACAATTATTCTGATTGCTGGAGTTGCCACCATGTAGCTGCATTCACATGGTCACATGACTACACCTTGAAAATTGAATGTGTACTTGTTCTCTGTGATGCTACAGCAGGGCTTAAAATTTCAGGTCCTGAGCTACTAGCCAGGCCTTAAGAGTTACTCGCCACCAACAAACACACACAAACAGAGACACCTGTACACCACACACAGACATGTACACACACACAGAAACATGTACACACACGCACAGAGACACATGTACACACACACACATACAGACACATGTATACATACACAGACACGTACAGACACGCATACACAAAGATACATGTACATACACAGAAATACACACGCACAGACACATGTACATATGCACAGACACATGTACACACATACACATGTACATACATACACAGACACACATGCACAGACACATGTACACACAGACACACACATGTACACACACACACACACACACACACACACATACATGTATATACACGCAGACACATGTACAGATACACACATGTACTTACACACAGACACATGTACATGCATACACAGACACACACACACATACACACGCACACTGTTAAGTGCTCTCTCCTCTCCCCTGAAGCCACCACTGGCTGACATAGAGGATCATGTGACCCTATAAAAAGTTGCAGTACTTCATTGTTCACTCACAGAGCCGGGTACTGCACTCTAAGGGGAGGCAGAGAGCACAACACACACTCCTTGCTTTGCTTTCACTGCGCTCAGCTATTGAGCAGTCTGACGGCTCCCAGTGCCAATGACAGATCCGGCCTGAGCTCCGAGCCTGCTCAGCAAGACTGCCCTGGGGGACACACTCGCCCCCACCATAATTTCCACTCGCCATTGGCGAGCAGGTGAGTGGAAATTTCAAGGCCTGTGCTACAGTATATCTAAAAATATTAATATGCACCTGCACAGATTTCAACTTACTCATTCTGTTAAAACTTACATATAAAAAATATACTGTACAGGTTTATCTATATATGAAATTGTGGTTTAAAGCCAGTACCTGAAATTAAACTTGTCCACAGAATTAGCCAGGTGTCTGGGGTTTTGAGAGCATCGGTACAGATTCCTCTCATCCATAGGAATAATGTCAACATCACTGAAGATAAAACAGTCATAGTCATAATCTTTACAAGCTTCTGTAAAGCCAACATTCATCAGCTTAGCTCTGTTGAAAGTTGAATATTCTATCTGCAAAAACAAAAGATTACATAGTGGACATTATTCTTAATGCTACAGTATGTTCTCATTTTCTTTACCACTGATGTGTGAGTTGCACCTACAAATATAAAATGTTTTCACCAACGACACTCAAAACACATTTAAAAATTTTGCCAGGGTTTAGGCACAGATGCCCAGCTGCCACCTCACCCAACATCAATGAACTATCACTTGTTGAGCTCTAACATTTTAAATCTGTTTTCAGCAGCGAATCTGTAAAGTTACTCTACTGACAATTTTCTTTTTTACTTTTTGCAATATTACATAATTACATAGTTAGTTAATATTAATATTAAAAAAATAAAAATCTGTGAAGCCCTCATGGCTGTAACAGTGAAGTAGAATATAGCAATGTATCTCTGCTTTTAATCCTCTGGTAAACATTCCCCACACCAGTTACAACGTGCTTTGTTTAATGAACCAGGTCTTTGTTCATTCCAGTTTTAAAGTGTTACTAAACCCACAACAGTAAAATCAGTCTGTATATGCAGTACAGCATGCTTGCTATACTCACTGTGGAACCTAAGGGGTTAATACTCTGCATTGTGTAACAAGGATGTTTGATCCTTTCTTCTTTGCCCCTCCTCTTGTTGAAATGTCCACCTGATACAGACTGAATCCATAGTCACATGCACATGCTCAGTTTGGTGTGTATTGCTAGAGAGGTTTTTTTTTTCTTGGGAGCCCAAACAGCACTGCCCAGACAGAGAGTCAATCGTTTCACATCCTCCTAAAGCAGAAAGTAAATCACTCCTACAAGCTTTAACCAGTGCTCAGCTGAAGTCACAAGACTGCTCTAACTGCTGATGAGAAAAGGTATTTAGCAGTTTATATTTACTAAAATAATTGCATTTCCATGTTATGTGTCCTGTGGGAGACCAGATATAGTGAATGTAGGGTCTGGGGTTTAGTAACACTTTAATAGTGTCCCTCTTTTAATTTTTGTTGCAGATTACAATCCTAATATTGTTTTTCATATGCCTTTGATGTTATTTACTTTTGGTATCAATTTCGCTATGTTTTAAAGAGGATATAACTAACTAATCCTAAAACTATTCCCACCCCTCTTCTAACACCTATACCATCTACCGCGTGGAGTAAAAATGCATATACCAAAATTTTCGCTCCATAGGACACACTTTTCCCCCCCCAAAAAAATTGGGGAAAATGTCTGTGCGTCTTATGGAGTGAAAATGGAGCGGCCAGCCCGGTATTCCCTGTCGCTGCCGCTGTGTTAGAATACCGGGCCGGCCACTCGGCTCTACTGTGCACAAGAACCTGCTCCTCGGTCCTACCTGTTCCTCGGTCCAGCGGTGTCCTGCTTTCACCAGCCGTCTTCTCTCCCTGGTGCCGGAATCTTCAGTGTGGGCACCAGGCTGTGACAGCTTGCGGCTTCACAGTAAAGTGCTCACTGCGCATGCGCTTTGTGAATGGCCCCGTAGTCTTCTGGGACCTGTCACGTGTCCCCCAAGACTATGGGGAGGAAGGGGGGGGATAAATTTGGGTACCCACCTCCCCCCATCCCCAAAGGTCTGCAGTCTCTGGTCATCTCCTGTAAAATGTCCGCAGTTTCTGGTCATCTCCTGTACTGTGTCCGCAGTCTCTGGTCATCTCCTGCACTGTGTCCGCAGTCTCTGGTCATCTCCTGTACTATGTCCGCAGTCTCTGGTCATCTCTTGTACTATGTCCGCAGTCTCTGGTCATCTGTAGTATGTCCGCAGTCTCTGGTCATCCCTTTTACTATGTCCGCAGTCTCTGGTCATCTCCTGTACTGTGTCCGCAGTCTCTGGTCATCTGTAGTATGTCCGCAGTCTCTGGTCATCTCCTGTACTATGTCCGCAGTCTCTGGTCATCTCTTGTACTATGTCCGTAGTCTCTGGTCATCTGTAGTATGTCCGCAGTCTCTGGTCATCTCCTGTACTATGTCCGCAGTCCCTGGTCATCTCCTGTAATATGTCTGCAGTCTCTGGTCATCTCCTGTACTGTGTCCGCAGTCTCTGGTCATCTCCTGTACTATGTCCGCAGTCTCTGGTCATCTCCTGTACTATGTCCGCAGTCTCTGGTCATCTCCTGTACTATGTCCGCAGTCTCTGGTCATCTCCTGTACTATGTCCGCAGTCTCTGGTCATCTCCTATACTGTGTCCGCAGTCTCTGGTCATCTCCTGTACTGTGTCTGCAGTCTCTGGTCATCTCCTGTACTGTGTCCGCAGTCTCTGGTCATCTCCTGTACTATGTCCGCAGTCTCTGGTCATCCCCTGTACTATGTCCGCAGTCCCTGGTCATCTCCTGTACTATGTCAGCAGTCTCTGGTCATCTCCTGTACTATGTCCGCAGTCTCTGGTCATCTCCTGTACTATGTCCGCAGTCTCTGGTCATCTCCTGTACTGTGTCTGCAGTCTCTGGTCATCTCCTGTACTATGTCCGCAGTCTCTGGTCATCTCCTGTACTATGTCCGCAGTCTCTGGTCATCTCCTGTACTGTGTCTGCAGTCTCTGGTCATCTCCTGTACTATGTCCGCAGTCTCTGGTCATCTCCTGTACTATGTCAGCAGTCTCTGGTCATCTCCTGTACTATGTCCGCAGTCTCTGGTCATCTCCTGTACTATGTCCGCAGTCTCTGGTCATCTCCTGTAATATGTCTGCAGTCTCTGGTCATCTCCTGTACTATGTCAGCAGTCTCTGGTCATCTCCTGTACTATGTCCGCAGTCTCTGGTCATCTCCTGTACTGTGTCTGCAGTCTCTGGTCATCTCCTGTACTATGTCTGCAGTCTCTGGTCATCTCCTGTACTGTGTCTGCAGTCTCTGGTCATCTCCTGTACTATGTCTGCAGTCTCTGGTCATCTCCTGTACTGTGTCCGCAGTCTCTGGTCATCTCCTGTACTATGTCCGCAGTCTTTGGTCATCTCCTGTACTATGTCCGCAGTCTTTGGTCATCTCCTGTACTATGTCCGCAGTCTCTGGTCATCTCCTGTACTATGTCCGCAGTCTCTGGTCATCTCCTGTAATATGTCTGCAGTCTCTGGTCATCTCCTGTACTATGTCTGCAGTCCTTTGGTTCAGAATTATTTTTTTCTTGTTTTCCTCCTTTAAAATCTAGGTGCGTCTTATGGTCAGGTGCAACTCATGAAGCGAAAAATACGGTACTTACCTATTTTCAGGCCTCTCTGTTCCGGTCACATGATCACCCCATCAGGCAGTGCCTGCTACAGAAGAGAGCAGAGTGCTCTGACAATGGCTGGAATGCCTTACCAATGACTTCACCCATAGGCTTACTATGGGGCATCCATTGTCAGCACTTCCTTCTCTTCTCTGAAGCCACTGTTAGCTGACACAGGGGAGCCGATCACATGACTGGACATGAGCAGCTTGAAAATAGGTAAGTATATACATCTTTCTTCCACAGGGTAGTTAGTAAAGGAGGAAGGGATCAGAGCAGTTTTAAGAGTAGTTGATTGTATCTCGAAATTCTACTTTTAGGTTCTGCTGTGCCTTTTAGTCCTCTTGGACAGCATTCTTAAAACACAGAAATGTGTAGCATGTTGATAGGCTTGAGAAAGGGAATTGGTCCCTGGAAACGCATAGCAATTCTTACCACACAACTATAGTCATTCAGTCCCTCGGATTTCAGCCAGCATTGATTTCTGAGCCACTGTGAGCTGGCACCCACTGACGTGCTGGCTCTCATTAACAGCTCTGACTATTTGGCAGCATCATCTACTACAACTGCTTGTGATCAGTCGAGAAACCCAACAACATTTTTTTTCATGTAAGGACCAGTTACCAGTTGTTCAGGCAGACCTGATTAGAAGCTCCATGCAGCCTCATGGTCAGGTGGATATAAACTGACTTGTAGCCATTTACACCTGTCTACCTCTGAGTCTGTCCAGGTTTAGGGAAAAAATGGAAAAGGATTGCATCATTTTCTGTTTTTTCAAACCTAAACATGACAGATAAGAGGGAGCCTGATGTAAAAGGACATCAGATTCCATTTACATCCAACCACTCTGTCAATGGTCAGCTCTTGTCTGCCAGGCACAAACTGAATGGGCAAGGATGTAAAAACAACTGACATTTGTCCAATTTAGCTCAGATTCAGCATTAGATCTGGTCACAGATCCCCTGCTGATTGGAACTGACACTGCTCCATGTGAAAGAGCCCTAGGTGGATTATGTGTTAGTTTTTTTTCAATGAATGTTTAAATGTTAACCACTTCTGGAGCCTTTTCTTCTGGTTCTTTTAGACCACAAAATACAGTTTTTCTTATTAAAAGGGTTTTTTTTCTTCTTCGAGGCCTGGGCATCTAACACTAATATTGGGTAATCCAGAGTTTCCACCTGGACTGACCAAAATGGCTTTTTATGCTGGCAACCCTAGGCTTACAAGTCAAAATTAGTGCAGCGCTATGGTCAATCTTTTCTAAATCTTTATTTAACCGTTTAGTCAAATTAAGCATCTCTGGGGATTCCTTAAAAGGTTCTAATTTGGATTTAATGTCCCCTATTTGGGAATCCAAACTCCTCATTTTCTTTTGTTTTCTTTTCATTAAAATCTGTACCAGTTCTAGCCCTTTCTCGTGAAAGAAATTAAACCACTCTTCTATTGATTCTGGGTCCGTCAACCCATCATTAATTGGTACATCCCATCGCAACCTCCTAGGAACCAATTTATCTTTGAGATATTTTTCATGGGTTATAATATCCCACCATGTGGAGATTTTTTTCTCCATCAGATGTCCTAATTTACTGAGTACTGAGTATCCAGATCACCAGCTTTACCGCTAAGTGGATAATTAAATACCTCATCCAAATTCAGATTTCTATTCTTTATAAACCCAAAAATCTCCATAATTAGCTGCTAGAGGCTAAATAAGGTATCACTCAATGAATGGATGTATTAACAAGTTCCTCCTGCGCTTCTATGGAGTCTCTACCACTCTTAAGCTGCTAGCACTTAATACTGGAACCTATAAACAGTACACGATATACAAGTCAAAATTAGTGCAGCGCTATAAAGTGCATAAGAAATACATCAATAGAGTCACAAAGCAGATTTTGTAAAGTAAAGTGGCACACGTGCTCAATATTCATGCAAATAAACAGGTGATGTGCCACTCAATGATATCAAATAAATGATACTCCTATAACTGTATTGAAAAAAAAATATAAATACCATATACCAATAACAATGCTTCACACTCCAAGCCGTAATCAGTGAATACAGTGACAAATAACAGAGGCTAGTACAGTTCATAAAATGTAATCCGTGCTTCACTCATAGGACAATACATGCAGGTGACCACAACGCATGTGAGATTCCGTGAAGGTGTCAGTCCTCCTATGGCTAAAATGCCCCCTCACCTTAAATCAATGGCCCAGTGGACCGTCACGCTTTTAAGATCATACAAAGATCTTACTCCAAAAATGGAGGTCAGCAGACCTTCTGTTGACCCCTCCATAATAGGCAAGTATACAGGACACTCAGGGTACTTGGCAGCCACTAGATATATCTCTCATCATGAAAATGATGAGCAAAGAAAGAACTTTCCATAGTGTAGTATTTAAATAGAAATTAGTAATTTATTGTCAACAACTATTACTCACATGTAGTAGTAATTACAGTAGTCTTCCATATGTATGGACACAGTGCATGGGTAAGGGCTCTTCCTGGTGTAATAAGATGGCGGCTGCATCGGAAATGCGTCACTGCTAGTCGGCCGCGTATCTACGCGTTACGTCGCAGTAACTCGCGACTTCATCAGGATAACGCTATTGGTAGGCAGCTCTCCCTTATATATTGGCTAAATGGACCGCAAACAGCTGTCGCCTATTTGTACTCATTATCTCTGGCCGGCGGCCATATTACCGGAGGGAGGCCACTTCTAAACTATATCGCTAGGTGTCACATAAGGTTAGTATACGGAAGATGCTTCTCATAAAGATATAATAATGTAATAATCTACGCCTATATCTTTCATATTAGGTTCAAAACAATAAGTCCCATCCACTAGCATGAATGTAGCCTAAAAAACCATATCATCATATACTTTATAAAGATATATTATTAAAAATTACAACTTTATTACTTAGTGTATAAAAAACTCATCAAATGATTAAACAATACATACATAAAGTTCAATAATAAATGGGGTAATAATATAAATATTTAAAAATGCTGATAATACACCAATGTTACATTTATAACCATTAAGAATCACTGATAAAACAGTTTAAGTCAAATTCATTTAACCCTCTAGGAACTTGTGTACCCATGTGGAAAATCCATTTCGATTCTGCCTTGCTCAAATATCTAACCTTGTTACTACCCCTCCAGTGTCTTTTAAATTTTTCAATTCCCCAAAATTTTAACATCCTGGGATCCTTATTATGATACATGGTGAAGTGCTTAGAAACATTATGTTTTGGGAAACCTTTTTTGATGTTCTGTACATGTTCTCTAATTCTTTTCCAAATTGGTCTTTTAGTTCGTCCAATGTATTGGAAGCCACATTCACACTTAAGGCCATAGACTACCCCCTCTGTTCTACATGTTATGAAATCTTTGATTTCATATTCCTTCCCAGTGGTATTTGATTTAAATTTTGTTCGTTTATCTTTGTATGATCTTAGAAGTGTGACGGTCCACTGGGCCATTGATTTAAGGTGAGGGGGCATTTTAGCCATAGGAGGACTGACACCTTCACGGAATCTCACATGCATTGCGGTCACCTGCATGTATTGTCCTATGAGTGAAGCACGGATTACGTTTTATGAACTGTACTAGCCTCTGTTATTTGTCATTGTATTCACTGATTACGGCTTGGAGTGTAAAGCATTGTTATTGGTATATGGTATATGGTATTTATATTTTTTTTTCAATACAGTTATAGGAGTATCATTTATTTGATATCATTGAGTGGCACATCACCTGTTTATTTGCATGAATATTGAGCACGTGTGCCACTTTACTTTGCAAAATCTGCTTTGTGACTCTATTGATGTATTTCTTATGCACTTTATAGCGCTGCACTAATTTTGACTTGTATATCGTGTACTGTTTATAGGTTCCAGTATTAAGTGCTAGCAGCTTAAGAGTGGTAGAGACTCTATAGAAGCGCAGGAGGAACTTGTTAATAAATCCCTAGGCTTATCCCCTATTTGGCAAGTGCTTACCCCAAAAGGTCTAAAACCCAAGGGAGAGCTTACTGTATTTCTCCTTCAATCTCCCATGAAAGACAGTGGTTTCAATATTTCCAACTACGTCATTTTTATGACAAGATGATGAAGGAATGGGCTAGAAGAGACTTGACACGATTTGAGGAGCTGTGTCTTTCAGACTCAAAGGGGTTTATTTACTAAAGCTGGAGAGTGCAAAATCAGACTCACTTCTGCATAGAAACCAATCAGCTTCCAGGTTTCATTGCCAAAGCTTCATTGAACAAGCTGAGGTTAGAAGCTGATTGGTTTCTATGCAGAAGGGAGTCTGATTTTGGACTCTCCAGCTTTAGTAAATAAACCCCAAAATGTCCAAGTGCTCTTTCTAAAATATATGGTATTCTTTTATCTTCTGCATTTACAGATTGGCCATTCTATATGCGAGACTGGAAATGAGGACTAAGAAATATTATTACACCTGAAGACTGGGACAAAGCCCTTCACCTTCAATTAAA